AAATACTTTAAAATTAAAAAGAATAAAATATTATAAATATTATTTATATAAATTATTAAAAATATAAAATATAAAAAACTGTACTGGTACTCTCTCAAATAAGATGGGTACCATAGAATTTCTCTTATTTTAATTAGCTTTTCACATCATCAAATGAAGAGTATATTTTTCTTTTTTAAAAAATGACGGCCAATATTTATATAGAATCCAAATCATTTGTCTCACGTTGGTATCGCACATTATGTTTCACTAATAAAAATTTGACACGTGGATAAAAATAAAAAAGAAAAAAATTATTCTTTGTATGTATCTTTGACAGATTTCTTACGTTATTACTCTCCTTCTCCCTCTCCCTATGTTACAATACTCAATTCAAAGCATATGATCAACATTCTGCTGTTTTTGGAGCTCTCAATTAGGGAATTGAACAAAAGAAGAGTAAAAACGTAAATAATCTGTCAAAGATACATAAAAAAAATTAGATAAATATATATATTTTTTATTTTTATCTACATGTCAAGATTTTATTGGTGAGATACTAATATGAAACACTAATATCAAATAGGTGATTTTGATCAATTTATATACAATCCTTACAATTATAAAAATTAAAAGAATTAATGTTGAATATTTTTTACAAACTAAAATTATGATATTTTGTAATTAATGTTATGACTATTCATATTTATAATAATTTGATTTATCTTCTTTTAAGTTTTGATTTAGAAGTGTTAAAAATAGTTTAACTTGATAGTGAATCAGAAAGGACTTTAAAAAATAACCTAAAAACAATCGAGCTAATTTAACATTATTGGAAGAACTATAATTGAGTTTAGTTAAACTAATATTTTTAATTTGATATTTTGTTTGTTTTTTACAAAAATTAAACAAAATGCTACTATAAATAATTAATTTAACCTAACCCGTGAAACTAATAAATTATTAATCTGTTAAAAAATTGACTTTACCTAATCCACTTTACACATGTCATCTAGTTGTTTGACCTATCTTATTAAACAACTTTAATATTAAGTGACTATAATGCTAACACATGATATAGTATTTTTTTAAAAAATAAATTTTAATTATTAGTGTTCAAATATATTACACATTCATCTCCATGTATTAAATATGATTAGTTATCTTATACGATATTGCTTTTGAGGACTTCTCTTTAATAAAACGATTTTTAAGGCTCTTTTCTTCGAGGGTCTTTAAGAATTTATTTAACTTTTTATAAAATTTAATTTTTTATTTTTTATTTATCATATTTATTTACAAATTAAATTTTAATAATTTTCAAAATAAATGTTTAATTTTTTTTAAAAAAGTGTGTTACAATATAAATTATTTATCATAAATTAAAAATATAATTTAAATGTTCAAAAATATTCATTTATAAAAGAATAAAATATTATAAATATTATTTATATAAATTATTAAAAATATAAAATATAAAAAACTGTACTGGTACTCTCTCAAATAAGATGGGTACCATAGAATTTCTCTTATTTTAATTAGCTTTTCACATCATCAAATGAAGAGTATATTTTTCTTTTTTAAAAAATGACGGCCAATATTTATATAGAATCCAAATCATTTGTCTCACGTTGGTATCGCACATTATGTTTCACTAATAAAAATTTGACACGTGGATAAAAATAAAAAAGAAAAAAATTATTCTTTGTATGTATCTTTGACAGATTTCTTACGTTATTACTCTCCTTCTCCCTCTCCCTATGTTACAATACTCAATTCAAAGCATATGATCAACATTCTGCTGTTTTTGGAGCTCTCAATTAGGGAATTGAACAAAAGAAGAGTAAAAACGTAAATAATCTGTCAAAGATACATAAAAAAAATTAGATAAATATATATATTTTTTATTTTTATCTACATGTCAAGATTTTATTGGTGAGATACTAATATGAAACACTAATATCAAATAGGTGATTTTGATCAATTTATATACAATCCTTACAATTATAAAAATTAAAAGAATTAATGTTGAATATTTTTTACAAACTAAAATTATGATATTTTGTAATTAATGTTATGACTATTCATATTTATAATAATTTGATTTATCTTCTTTTAAGTTTTGATTTAGAAGTGTTAAAAATAGTTTAACTTGATAGTGAATCAGAAAGGACTTTAAAAAATAACCTAAAAACAATCGAGCTAATTTAACATTATTGGAAGAACTATAATTGAGTTTAGTTAAACTAATATTTTTAATTTGATATTTTGTTTGTTTTTTACAAAAATTAAACAAAATGCTACTATAAATAATTAATTTAACCTAACCCGTGAAACTAATAAATTATTAATCTGTTAAAAAATTGACTTTACCTAATCCACTTTACACATGTCATCTAGTTGTTTGACCTATCTTATTAAACAACTTTAATATTAAGTGACTATAATGCTAACACATGATATAGTATTTTTTTAAAAAATAAATTTTAATTATTAGTGTTCAAATATATTACACATTCATCTCCATGTATTAAATATGATTAGTTATCTTATACGATATTGCTTTTGAGGACTTCTCTTTAATAAAACGATTTTTAAGGCTCTTTTCTTCGAGGGTCTTTAAGAATTTATTTAACTTTTTATAAAATTTAATTTTTTATTTTTTATTTATCATATTTATTTACAAATTAAATTTTAATAATTTTCAAAATAAATGTTTAATTTTTTTTAAAAAAGTGTGTTACAATATAAATTATTTATCATAAATTAAAAATATAATTTAAATGTTCAAAAATATTCATTTATATAAAATATAAATTAATATTATTTATATATTGAAATATATAATATTTATTGATATAGAATTTATTAAATTTTTAATTACACATAATAAAAATTTAACCCGTATCATACATCGACTAAAATACTATTTCATCTAATCCTCAAATCTAATTAAACAACTATTACATATAAAATTTAATTTAACCGGTCAAGATTAATTTACATATCCAACAAAAATGTGAGTTTAAATCTACAAATACTTATTTAGCTTTGAGGTCCGTGCTTATCCAATTCACCTAAACAAAGGTTTGAGGTTTAGACAACTATGATCTACAAATTATCATTCGTAAATTTTTAGCAAATCTTGGTCTAATTAAGGTAGAGAAAGCCTTAATTTGTTGTTGGTGAACTAGAAATTTGTGAAAATAGCATATCTCTCCGGCCGCCACAAGCACATGACTGTGGATGGTATCGTGGATAACTTAGATAACACTTGATTTGAATGATGAGATAACGAAGATAACATTTGATTTAAAATTTTAAATGATGGTTAATTTGGGTAAAATCCATCAATGGGTCAACAAGCCATTAAAATATACATGCACCATCTATTTAAGGGGATATAACTAAGTAAGTGACACAAAATAATTTATATATAATCGGGTAGTGGCTTTGTGGCATGGTACAATTAATATTACATCATGATGTGACGTCACCTTCGTGTGGTTGACGTTGACACGTGCGATGAGAGAGGAACCTTCATTGCATCATCGAGGAAATAGTTTGGAAGCACCGTTCATAGAAAAGCATACTACAGAAAACAATATTTATATATATATATATATATATATATTCATCCTTCTAGATATTATTTCTTAATATAAAACCGTAGGCTAGCTAATTTAAGTCATTTCACAAAAGGGTTATATGCTCTCAAGTCTCAATACCACAATAGTCTTTGCTTTTCACTAGCAATGGATTTCTACTTTGGAAATAACCCTCACCCTTATCCCAATTATGCTCATAATAATGCCAACTTTTTTGATCCATCTTCCCCTCAGATCGCACTATCCGATTATCTCATGCTCGATGATTACGTTGATCATCATCAAGAGTCTAGGTCATCACAAAGCACCACCGAGTCATCGGAAAAAGCAACCTTCAGTAGTGATGCCACTCATCACGGTGCAACCTCTAAGAACAACAACAACAACAACATGCAATTGCAAGTGCTTTTCTCTCTTTCATTTCTCTTCCTTCATTAAATGTATGTATGTCTATGGTATGCAATATAGCATTTATAGATAGTATAAGAGTTATAATTTGAATTGTGTTGAATAATGGGATGCAGAAAATGCAAAAATGGGAACAAAGCAGGAGTGGGTCCAAGGATCGCGTTTAGAACCAAGTCGGAGCTCGAGATTATGGATGATGGATACAAGTGGAGGAAGTATGGCAAGAAGTCAGTCAAGAGCAATTGCAACCTAAGGTAAAATTCTAATACTAATATTTTAAAAATTAATTTCGTGATTAATTAGATAATAATTAAAATTATTTACATGCTATGAAACAAATTAATATATGGCTACTTAGCTAATTAATACAGGACATCATATTTCTTGTATAAATTATTTTTATGATTTGTATATATATGAATTTAATAGTAATATATATTGACAATTTAAAATAGTTTTATATTGTTGATTAATTAATTAAATATTAATATTGGGGTGCTAATAGCTAGATTAATGTTAATGTTTGTGGCGGCTGGTATTATATTAAAGGTTTGGGATGGGGACTATTGTTATGAAGTTGAGGGTTATCAAAATTAATATGGACCCCAGTTTAAATATGTGTCGTTTGGGCTCATATAGTAACTAACCAAAAGGGTCTAAAATCAGTACCAATTTGGCCACTGTATGTGTTGTTGGTTTGTGCTCTTTTGTTTTTACTTGAAATTGATAAAACGGGTTCATGTGGGGCTAAGATATTGTGTTCTCTTCCAAAGAAATAAACATTTTGAATTGAATTAATTTATCCAAGTAAGTAATTACTGAGTAGGAGATTCCATTATTAATGGTGACAGGAACTACTACAAATGTTCAAGTGGAGGATGCATTGTGAAGAAAAGAGTGGAAAGGGATAGAGATGACTCGAGCTATGTGATAACAACATATGAAGGTGTGCACAATCATGAGAGTCCATTTACCACCTACTACAGCCCCATTTCCTTCATACATTCTGATGCTTTTACATCCACCCAATGAAATTAACCAACTCGATCCAACCCCTTTGGGCCATTTCCTCTCAAAGCTTCCACACCTCCCTTGCTTGCTCATGTGGCAAGAAAAGTCTTGGAATTGAGTTGGGGAAGCTGTGTATCATTGCACTGTCTAATTAATCATAATTATTTTCATGCTGTAATAGATTGAAGATAGTTTATGCTCAGATCATGAGGCTGTATTCTGAATTCTACACTTTTTTTTTGTTGGTATTTTTGCATTTTGTTTTTAGATGCGTTTGATAACTCAATTAAAAATCAACCAATGTTAGTTCATGTAACAAGGAACAAGGTTCTCCTTGTGTAAAGTTGTTCCAATCTTGAGAAGTACCAGGAGAAAAAGAGAGATTTGTCATTTCAATTGCTTTTCTCAATTCAAATTAACCAAAATTTAATGATATTAATTACAAGAATAAATGATAAAATATACATGTATATTGAAATAATAAGTAAATTTGTGTGTTTTCAAGATTTTTGACAAAAAATAATTATTATCTTTGGTGATAGATTTTTTTATTATTTTTTTTTTATAATTGACATAGATAAAAAATATTACATTATAAAATCTATTCTTAAACTAGACGACATTCTGTATACCAACATTCTTAAGTGTAATAAGGGAGGCTTAATTAAAATTTATATCACGTCATATTATCAAAGATTTTAATAATAATTTGAAATTATTGTGGAATCATTGTAGTAGATTTGTAGTGAATAATGTATAGAGAAATGATTTATAATATTCTTCAAACAATTAAAAAAAAATCTTCTTTCAACCAAATCATCTTAGATTCTAAATATAGGTTTGTGGTCTTTCTATTTAATGGGACAAGAGAAATTTTATTGGATTGGATTGGTCAAAAGAAATGATAGGAGTCATCCCCCATTAGTTTATGGAATTTTTTAACCTACCATTGAGTCAATATCATTATTTATTAATTAAACTTGCATAATTGATTAATATAAGTGGTATCAATTTATATTTTTTAATTAAATTATTTAGAATTTGAATTTGAATTTTGCATAAGAAATAAATTATGTTAAAAGAAGAATATCTATGATAAATTTTGGTAGAGATTAATCACTATTTTCATTAATAAATACCTTATATCAATATTATAATTTAAAAAAATTACTTCAATTTAGAAAATATATAAACTTACCAAATTAAATATGTTATCTGTACTATCCGTACTGCCATGCCGAGCTCGAGCTCGGTATCACAGCGTGGAATATCCTTGGGCACGCACTGGGAGATCTCGGCTTAAGCGAGATCCGCAATTTAATCAGATCATAACTGATCTCGGAGATCTCGCTCAAGATGAGATCCGCAATCTAATCAGATCATATCTCGGGGATCTCGCTCCAAACGAGATCTACTATCTAATCAGATCATAACAGATCTCAGGCCCAAGGCCCAACACAACCCTAATTCACACAAAGGTACGTGCATTGTTTATACGAGACTCATACTCACACAAACATTAACTTTAGCATCGGAGTCTCTTTTGCAGGTACCACCCCCATCTTGGAACACTAGCATACCCGTGAAGGAGGCTCACCGATCTTACCTAGCGAATCACCTCTACGGCAGATTTCCGATAAGAACATTTGGCGCCCACCGTGGGGCCGATCAAGACAGCTCTTATCGGCCACCTGTATGGTTTTCACCAGAAGCCACAGCAGACGCGCAACAGACGACCTGGATCACTCAACTACCATGGATAGTGACGCAGCAACGTTGAGGAGGCTGATCGACCAGGTCGAACAGATGCGGCAACAACACGCCGCCGACCTACAAAGCATGCGTGCCAAGCACGAAATTGATCTAGCGGCAATGCACACCGCTAATGAAGCCGACCTAGCAGCACTACGCGCCGAGAACGAGCGCATTCGTGCCCAACTCCCTCGGCGTCCCTCAGATCAACCCCCTCTGCAGAGTAACCTGAATGAGGACGAAGGGCATTCGCTTTCTAAACCCCGAACTGCGACCAGAGCACCGACTCCACGACCTGCCACGCATCGGTCTCATGCACCGACGCACAAGTCGACTCAGGATGTCAGCAGGGCCCCACTCATGTCACAGAGGGTCAAGAAACTTTCTGCCGTCATCCTTTTGTGGATGGCATCATGGAGACTCCACTCCCCCGCAGATGGAAGCCTCTCCACCTTGATCGCTATGATGGCACGACGGACCCCGATGAACATATTGACCTGTATACGACCCAGGTAAACCTCTACACTAACAATGATGCTATCTTGTGTAGGGTTTTCCCGACCTCGCTCAAAGGGGCCGCACTCAACTGGTATACCCAGCTACCTGCCGAGTCAATTGACAACTTCGGCACTCTGGTCAGACGATTCACGGCGCAGTATGCAACGAGTCGACCTCACCTCGTAACGTCGGCTGCTCTGGCCAGCCTCAGACAGGGCGACGATGAACCACTACGGACGTTCATGGAACGTTTTGCTGGCATCTCGGTGAAGATTCGCAACTTGAATCCCGAGGTCGCCCTACACGCCATGCTCATGGCGCTCAAGCCGGGACCTTTTGTGGACAGTCTGTGTCACCGAGCTCCCGCTGATATGGACGAACTTCGTGCCCGAGTTGCCGATTACATACAGATGGAAGAGCACTCTGCTTTTCGTGACCAGGTTCGCAACAAACCACAAGGAAAGCAAGACCAAGGTCAGGCCACAAACATTTAAAGTTGGCGACCTTGTTTGGTGGGGTGAGAGAGGCAAGAATAGACCCCTCCGAAGGGAAATTCGGAACTTGGAATGTCACCCACCTCAAATTTTATTTCTCTTAACTTGTAAATTCAGGTGACGTACTCTTTTTCCTCCTCAGCCTTTTTTCCCACTAAAGAAAAGGGTTTTTGGCCAAGGAAGGTTTTAACGAGGCACACCTCAAAAATAATCAACAAAACAACTCTATTCCCATACATTTTTGGTATTGGCACATTAATCGTGACGACTTGCCAAGGCCGAGTCCGAACCTCGAGATCCCATTTTAGTAACCGAGGTCGAGTCCGAACCTCGAGATCACATTTTCTTAACCAAGGTCGAGTTCGAACCTTGTTATGCCGAGGTCGAGTCCGAACCTTGAGATTACATTTTCTTAACCAAGGTCGAATTTGAACCTTGTTATGCCAAGGTCGAGTCCGAACCTTGAGATTACATTTTCTTAACCAAGGTCGAATTTGAACCTTGTTATGCCGATGTCGAGTCCGAACCTTGAGATTACATTTTCTTAACCAAGGTCGAGTACGAGCCTTGTTATGCCAAAGTTGAGTCCGAACCTTGAGATTACATTTTCCTAACCAAGGTCGAGTACGAACCTTGTTATGTCGAGGTCGAGTCCGAACCTTGAGATTACATTTTCTTAACCAAGGTCGAGTACGAACCTTGTTATGTCGAGGTCGAGTCCGAACCTTGAGATTACATTTTCTTAACCAAGGTCGAGTACGAACCTTATTATGTCGAGGTCGAGTCCGAACCTCGAGATTGCATTTTCTTAACCAAGGTCGAGTACGAACCTTGTTATGCCAAGGTCGAGTCCGAACCTTGAGATTACGTTTTCCTAACCAAGGTCTAGTACGAACCTTGTTATGCCGAGGTCGAGTCCGAACCTTGAGATTGGATTTTCTTAACCAAGGTCGAGTACGAACCTTATTATGTCGAGGTCGAGTCCGAACCTCGAGATTGCATTTTCTTAACCAAGGTCGAGTACGAACCTTATTATGTCGAGGTCGAGTCCGAACCTTGAGATTACATTTTCTTAACCAAGTCGAATTCGAACCTTGTTATGCCGAGGTCGATTCCGAACCTTGAGATTACATTTTCTTAACCAAGATCGAATTCGTACCTTGTTATGCCGAGGTCGATTCCGAACCTTGAGATTACATTTTCTTAACCAAGGTCGAGTACGAAGCTTATTATGCCAAGGTCGAGTTCGAACCTTGAGATCACATCTACTTAACAAGGTCGAATTTGAACCTTCAAACAACAAATTTGGGAACTCCTCAGAAGCCCCTTTGCTCTTACATCACTCGGTGCTTGGGGGGCAAGTGTACTGGCCAGTCGAGTTATCGACTTGTCCTTCACCAAATTGCTGACTCGTCAAAGGTTTACCAGCCTAACCAAGCAATAAGCTCATTATTGCCGAGCTCCTCAGCTCGACCATGAAACATGGACATCGGAACACCACATCGGCCCAAACAGGCCACGCCATCAAAACAAATAAAAATACAATCTTGTCGCCGCGCCGTCCACGCGTTATGGGAACGAGGTGACGGCTATGACACCTGGCATCTCGAAAGGCAGATGTACGCGAAGGGCCACAACCACTTGACGAGCTCGGACTTAATTCCTCGACCTACGGTCTGCGGAGCTCGGGGGGCTAATGTACTATCCGTACTGCCATGCCGAGCTCGAGCTCGGTACCACAGCGTGAAATAACCTCGGGCACGCACTGGGAGATCTCAGCCTAAGCGAGATCCGCAATCTAATCAGATCATAACTGATCTCGGAGATCTTGCTCCAGATGAGATCCGCAATTTAATCAGATCATAACTGATCTCGGAGATCTCGCTCAAGATGAGATCCGCAATCTAATCAGATCATAACTGATCTCGGGGATCTCGCTCCAGACGAGATCTACTATCTAATCAGATCATAACAGATCTCAGGCCCAAGGCCCAACATAACCCTAATTCACACAAAGGTACGTGCATTATTTATACGAGACTCATACTCCCACAAACACTAACTTTAGCATCGGAGTCTCTTTTGCAGGTACCACCCCCATCTTGAAACATCAGCGTACCCGTGAAGGAGGCTCACCGATCTTACCTGGCAAATCACCTCTACGGCAGATTTCCGGTAAGAACACTATCTAAATTAAAAAAAAATGGAAAACATGAATTTCCTAGCATGTTATCAACTTTAAAAATGTGTAATTAGTGTTTGTTACACTTAATAAATGCAAAATTATTTAAGCTGGTTGAGATGTTCGATGTTGAAGCTGAATGCCATGCTTCACATATGCACAGCCATTTAAGTAAAGAGTAGTTGCAGCAAGTTTAAGCACCATGGCTTGTTTGACCTTGACAGAACAAAGACAGAGGAATCTTCTTGTCGGCAGGGAATAGATCGAGTTCATCAATCCCCCACGAGTTAAATACGTTTGATTTTAAATATACTTTTAATTTCTAATTTTAGAGGTGATTTTATTGTTATCCCATTAAAATATGAGAAAAAAGTTAATCATAAAATAATGTTTCGATTAACTTTCATAATAATTATCTTAATTTAAAACCGAAACTTAATCTCAATTACTTTTGTTTACATAGCAAAGTTTTAGGACACATTTCATGAGTAATGGCAACCATGGGTCTACCAGAGAGATTAGAGACATATTATTATTTTGTGATTTTGTTCGAATATTACAACCATAGCTCCGGTGACGGCATTTTCTCTAGTTCGTAGACTTTGGGGTAATGCAACACACAACAAAAGCATTTTGCAAATTGCAAGGTTCTAACTTCAATTTTCTTTTTTGTCTTTTTCTGTTTTGGCAGATGATCCATCAAATTGCCGATAAGCGAGGTAGAGCGAATTGAAATTTACAAAGTTTTTCAAAATGGGACGGGTAGGTTTGACCCGTTTTAAATGAATTATATAGATTGATCTATTTTGCTATTCATAACATAAATTAAACATGTTAAATTATTTATTGACTTTTATAGTTGAAGAAGGAGTTAATGATTCAAATCTAAGAGTTAATATGTGTAAGAAAAAGCTTTTGAGACATAACTTGCAAAATTTTGAAAATCAAACAAAAACTATAAGCAATTTTATTTAATTTTAGGGACTATGTTAACTAATCATTTCAATTTTACCGACTAAATTGGTTGATAATTTTCAATTTGAAGACTATTTTATTGTTTTGTTTATTTTAGGGACCAAATTCAACATCAAGTATAACTTTAGAAGTAAATTAAAAACCATTTTATTGCTTTATTAATTCTAAAGACTAATTTGATTAACTATTACAATTTTAGACACTAAATTCGATGTTTACGTTTTGATAATCATTTCATTTACAAAATATCTTAATTTGAGCAAACTTAATTCTTATTTAAATTCAATCTTAATTAAACTTATGTTAAAAATACTCTTTTTTTTTATATAGTTTAACAATTTTCTAATAAAATTTTTTAATTACTAACGCGGTTAAAATTCTATTAGTTCATGCTGTCGAAAACTCGAAAATGTTAATTATCTTTTTAATATAATAATTATTTTTTTAATTTCATTTCACCTTTTCAAAATGCTTTTAACTAAGTTTTTAATTTTAATAGGGTAATTAGACTAAAATTTAAAATTTATTTCATATTCAGATTAAAAAAATAGTTTAGACTTTAAACTCTTTGATATTTTGTATTTTATATTTATTCATAAAACTAAAAAATTGTAAAAAAATAAAACTTTCCATCACCAAAATTTAAATTTATACAATACACAAAATGAATGTCTATTTTATATAATTATATCTTAATAAATATAAAATTTTAAATATATTTAATATATGTAAATAATCATTAAAAGTAATATGGTTTAAAATAATTATACTAGTTTGTTAATTTCTTTGTAATGCAATATCATTTATGTATTTAAATTTGAATTAATTATTGAGGCATGGTTGGATCGCGTGGCTCAGACGAATGAGTAGAGAGATGGCATGATTACGATCAAATTTTGTTCATCCCTTAAACTTTCCTTCTTCCTTAATCTGCCATTTCCGCACACTACACACTTTCCTCCGATTCACGCTTCCCAATCTCCTCAGATCCGTCGTCGATTCGCTTTTCTCGCTTTCTATTTTTCCATTTCTCACTTCCCATTTTCAGGCGAGATGCGCCACAACGGAACTCGCTCCGATCTCGCCGCGATTCTACCGTGACATGGACTTTGGAACCGAATCCAGGACGCGCGTATCGAGAAACCGGTGTTTGAAATCATTTGACGGAACTTGATGAGTGCATGTAGCGGTAGTACTAGTGAAGGCGTTTTTTGAGTTATCGTTGCTGAATAGGAAATCATGTTCTGGAGGGACCGCGAGAGGGAGAACAAAGAGTTGAACGGTGGGGTCCTATGTGGCCAGGTCAGAGTGCTCGTTGTTGGTGACTCAGGTCCATCTTTCTTTTCCTTTTTTTATTTTTGCTGTTGTTCATAGTGTTGATTGTTACGATATTATGTGTTTTCTTTTTTAGAATAAAAATAGAAGTTGTTTATACTCTAAGGTGCTCTACTAGGGTGTGTTCACTATTGTTGGATTAATTTAAAGATGTTACTTATGGTTTTAGGATAAGTGATGCATGCTTTTAATTTTTATGGTGAGTTTCGAGTGGGAATGATTTGGTAATTATGTGATTGTGTGGTGTGGACAAAAGGCAAGTTGATTGAGTGCAGGGGGTTGTACTGTAAAGATTGGGGGATTGAGAAAAGTAATCGCTCTGGTGATACCGTTGTTATAACACACAAGAGTTATGTTAATGATTTTAGCTGCCATGCGGTATGTTATGGGCAAGGTTATAGATGAACTCTCTGGTTTTTTCTTTTTTTTGGTAACTGTTATTGGTGTGCAATATCCACAACCGATGTTAATATTTGCTAGAGAACCTGATTGACCTCTTTTAGTGGGTTTCCTCCTAAGCCTAACCACATTTTTTCCATATACAAGGCTCGAATTTAACATCTTATTTAATGGATCTTAGTATAATTCTATCCGGACCAACAACTTGTTGGTATAGACAAACTCAATTTGAAATATATATATATATAT